CCCCAAAACCCCAAAACCCCAAAACCCCAAAACCCCAAAGATTTGTTATAATTTGAACATATATTTAAAATGTCTATTTACAGTGGCTTTGCCACCCGAAATCAAGAGGAGTTTTATAATAAACTAGTTCAGAAGCTGATATCAATGATGTCTGACAAAATCATAGCTGATTTGAAAGGGAAATCTTTACCTGATGAGCATTCTTGGAGCAAAAGTATCACGAAAATTCATAAAACACTTGCTTATATGGAACAGGCAAAGTATTTAGAACCAAAGTTCAGCTATTGTTTTGATGACTTAACAGCTTTGCTTCTAAGAAGTGGGAATATTAGTGACTCTACTAGAATGAGCAGGATCTCTGCTGTTGATAGAATTCAGACAAAAATGAAATAACTTTAAGTCTCTTCCTATATCTCCAAAAGGTCTTAAGCATAAAATAAGGAATAAGAACGGAAATAATAAAGCAGTTCTAAAGTTTTTGGCTACTTCTGAAATAGCTTCTTCACCAAACATTGAAACTTCCTCCATAACAGCAGAGGAAAACAGAAATGTTACGAGCACTAAAAGAGGGAAGATGCCTGTTTTAGTACCTGAAATTTAAGAATATAAAGAAATCTCGTAAAAAGCATAATAATTCTCAAATTCCAAATCATATTGGCTTAGAGGAGATTAAGAGAGAGAAACTAAGCAGTACCCGGTATTGGAGATCCAAGCCGACCACTAGCTTTAGCAAAAAGCATTCCGCTAATGATCAATATTATTATGTTTCGAAGAAGTTTAGGATTGATAAGGGATACCAAAAGTCTACTTCTGGTAACAGCTTACTGAGAAAAACAAGCATAACTTTGAGAGATTCTAACCTAGGGAAAGTCAAGTTTGGTGGAAGGATCAAACCTATCAAGCTCCAACACCATATTCGTCCAAAAAGGTAGCTCTACATGCTTGGTGAAAGAGATTTCACCATTAGAATTTTCAATTTTTTCTGAATAATGGGGTTTTGGGGTTTTGGGGTTTTGGGGTTTTGGGG